TGGGGCTTTTGGGGGGTTCTTTGCCCACCCCAGGCTGAGCTCGGCACCCCCCTCCCTGCCCTGATCCCCGTTTTGGGGGGTCTGAGTGTCACCCCTCCCTGAGGGGTCTGTGGGGGGCGAGGGACCCCCTTCACAGGGTGAGGGGGCTGACTGTGTGCAGGGGGGCCCTGCACCCCCATTTTGCACCGTGCCTCAGTTTCCCCATTGATGTGACAGGGAAATCAGGAAAGGGGGGTGAATCCCACAGGCGCCCACCGAGCCCCACAGCACCCAGATAAATCTGGGTCACCTGCAGCAGACAGACACCCTCCTTGGGGACAAAACCCTCCTCTCTGTGCCCCCAGGGGGCTTCACACTCACCTCTACCCCTGCCAAGGTGAACTCAGCCCTTAGCACCCAACTGGGGGGGCAGTAGCACGCCCGTGGGAGGTGGGACCCCCAAAACCCCCATGGCCACTGCGGGGAGACACCCCCTGTGGGGACAAATCTCCCCTGTCTGTGTCCCACAAGGTGCTCACACCCCCCTTTTCCCCTGTCCAGAGGACCCCAGCCCACAATACTCAGCTGGGGGGCAGTGGGGCACATGGGGGGGAGGGACCCCCAAAATCCCCATGGCTGTGCAGGGAGGGGAGCCCTTGGCAGCACCCAGATAAGGTCACGGTCTGTTATCGGGGCACCCAGACCCAGCACCACCCTCCACCCCACGGTGGGTGCCACTGGGTCCCAAAAACATGAGACTGCCCCCCTGCCTGGATGGGCTCCCCAAATCGGGCTGGCACAGGGGGGACAGCACTGGTGTGACCCCACGGCCGGAGGGACCTTGTGGGGGACCCCGTGAGTGTCTCCAGGCACTGTGGGGCTGCTGTGGGACTGTGTGTGTGTGTGTGTGTGTGTGTGTGTGTGCAAGGCTCACTCCTCCTTGTCCCTGGGATTTGGGTTTGGGATTTGGGCCCAGGACCCCTTTGGAAAGGTTGTGAATATAAAGACACAGGCATGTACACAGATGTGCATGTACACACACACGTGTGCAAATACACGTGCAAATACATGCTTGTCCACAGAGGGATGGGTGTACACATGGATATGCACACACGTGGATGTGCAGACACGTGCACACATGGATGTGCCCTCACACACACACGTGTGTGTTCATGGATGTGCCCTCACACACACACATATGTACTCATGGATGTGCACTAACACACACACACACGTGCTCATGGATGTGCCCTCACACACACACACACATATGTGTGTTCATGGATGTGCCCTCACACACACACATGTGTTCATGGATGTGCCCTCACACACACACACACGTGTTCATGGATGTGCCCTCACACACACACATATGTGCTCATGGATGTGCCCTCACACACACACACATGT